AACCACAAATTGTAAAATCCTGACCACGTAATTTTTTAGTTAATAGGAAACATGAAACCTTTACGTTTAGTGAAGTAACTTTCCAGGTGTCCCTGTTTTTCTAATAAACAGTTACTGTTTATTAAAAAAAAAAAATCAATATATAAAAAGACAGTATTGTATTGAATTTAAAGCTCCAAAACAGATAAGTTCTGTTCTTTCCCTGTGTGCACACGAAGGGCCCGTTCCTGCTTTTTGACTTACAAAGCTGCCACTGACAGCAGCCCCACAGGATAAGTCCTTTTCATAAAGGCACAGGGAATAGATAAGTCTACGTTGAGTTAAACTTCAGCATCTGATAGTCCCAGCAGCTTTTGAAACTAACAGGTAAAAATTAAAAAGAAACCCTTTTGGAATGAAGAAAAAAAAAAAAAGCTTTTTAGGCTAAAATACAAAGCCATAATTGGGATGATTTTGACAGATGTATTAGTCCTGAAAATTAAAGGTAGGATGTGGGAGCTGGATTACCTGTGCAGAAGGGCCCGTGATTATAGAGTTCTGATGACATTACTCTTTATCCAGCTTTGCAGAGTGTACACAGTTTGGCCCTGTTGTTGCTCACCTTAGCGAGGTAAAAATAGCACTTGGTTAGAGTCTAGTTTGAAGGACTTTTATGGAAAAAAAAAAAAAAATTAAAAAAAAATTAAATGTGCAAGGGAGAGATTTTAGAAATAAGATCCGGTACATCACGATGTATATTGTGATGTACGCGTTCCAGATATTTTCCATTTACAAGATGGAAAGTCAGTGTTTATGCACATTGGTGTGTGTTTGAATGATTTGGCTAGTGGGTAGGTGTCCTTTCCCGGGGCAAACGGGAGCAGCTCAGGCATGTGTGATGGGCCTTCTGCACCTGCTGGGGATTTAGCTCAAGTGGCTTTTGGAATGGAGAAGCTGAAGCCCATCTCTAGTGCTGCACCCGGGAAGTTCTGCCTAGCAAAAACATCACCGTGGTGATGCCAGTGGCAGCGGTGCGGCAAAACGGAGACCTGCACCCGGGTAAGTGATGTCCTTTGTCACACTGAAAGGGTCAGAAGAGAAGCAAACGGGTCGTCTCAAATGGGAACAAAACCAAGATTTATTTTAATTCTTTTTTTTTTTTTTTTTTTTTTCCCTAGCTCATTGGAAAGACTCTGAGGAAACGTTGCCAAATCAGAAGGAATCTCAGCAACTTTCAAAATCTAGTCGGACTGGTTTGCTGTCAGCCCGGCTGGATCTCTGGCAGCTTACATGGAGGGCTCCTTTGGAGCTTGGACCTCCAGCACCTCTGGCTGCATGGGCAGGTTTGGCCAGCCAGGCACTGAGCAGATGGGGTTTGATAGCCTCCAGCAGGGCATCTCTGAGGCTCCAAGATTTGTGAAAGACACTGCAAAGTTGGGGTGTTTTTTCTCCAAACTGGAATAAAAAACTTGCAAGAAACAAAACGCTTTGCGATGTGGCAGAGCTGTGTCTGCAGAGATTTCCTGTGAGATGGTGGGAAGTTTCCTACAGGAGGAGAGTGTCGAGCACTGTCCCCATGGCTGCCCTGAAGCCCCTGGGGCTGCGCGTTTACAGCAGCGAAGTGTTACCGGGCCATAGATGCTGTGTAAGGAATTTCTCCATGGTTTCAGCTGGAGCTCTTGGAGGAAATAATTTAATAACCCTTTTCTTTAGAAGTATTTGCGGTTGAGGTGCCTGGTGTAACAGAGCTGGTTCCTCAGCTGGTTATAGCAGCAGCAGCGGAGCTGTGAGATGTAACAGCTCGAGGAACTGTCCCCTTGGTTTTGTACAGGTGTGGTGCAGAAGTGAAACCAGCTGAGTCTACACGTTAAGTTTGCTTGTTTATTTGAGCAGTTTTGGAAACGCTGCCATTCCTGACACTGCAGCTGTGTTTTGGAGGTCAGTAGGAGCAGGACATTGACATGTACGGCAGTAAAAGCGTGATGTTGTGGCAGAGACGTTTAATCTGGCCTTGCAGGAACTCATAGGTTTAAGTGGAAAGCACCATGAACCTTTGCACCAGGAGGATGCAGCCTCGGCCATGTCTGCAGCGCCATACGTACCCGTGCATTTTTAAAGAATGATGAGTAAATTTGCTTTCCAAGTCCGTGTGTGTGTGCATACCCGTAAATAATAAATTTCCTTAGCTCCTTCATCTCACAGAGAATCTCATCTCTGCCGGTACCTGCAGCCGCGCCAGGTTAGCTGGCCGCGTTGGTGCAAGGTTCCCCTGGAGCAGAGCCTGGCCACTGCAAACCGCTCGCAGCAGCTCCATGCTGCTGGGTGCCTCCGTCGCCCCGGCACACAGCCACAGCTGCTCGGAGGAAGCACTTTGCCTCGCAGATGGGTTTGGGAAGGAAAAAAACCCTCACTTTTCATTTTGGGGCTGCCGTTCTTGAGCTTCGGAAAACCAGTCGGAACGTTTTGCAGAAAGGAGATGGTTCCTGAGATGTGGTCAGCTGGAGAAAGTCTTTGGTGGTGTTTGGCTGGTTTATGTCTTACATGATTCTCATTGTGCTTTCGGATAGATCCCAGTCATCCCATCCCACTTCTGTTACGCGTGTTTGCCTGCAATACTGTGGGCGATGGCCCAACTGTTCTTCTGAATTCCTGTGGCCCCTTGAGTACCATGTTCTTCTGCATGTTGCTTCATCTCAGGACACAAAGCAGAGGTTCTTCACAAACAGCTTTGTCCCACCTAGGAGGTTGTGATTGGAAAACCTGCCGGTAAAACCTGCGGCAACCTAATTCAGAAGGGAATATAGGACTAAAATGGGCGAGGGGAAAGCAAAAGGCTATGTGATCCCTTTATAAAGTTAACAATGTACAGGGGTAATAAATGGACTGTGAAAGAAAAGCTTTGTGGCATAAAGTTGAGGGATGCCTAGTAGACTGTAATTTCCCTAGGGCAGAGGAGGGCAGCCGTCCTCCTGAGGTCAACGCGCGGGACATTCCCCATATACAACGCACTGGAGCAGGCACGGATGCAGCCTGTGATGTTTGTTGCGGCCAAAAGAGGCAGCGGAAAAACTGAATTGCAGGCGCAGCCTAAGCGTTTGGGGCTTGAGAGTTTCTGTCAAGTGCAGATGAGGATGTATTTGCACGCTTCCGACAGGAGAGGAGACCTCGCAGAAGGAGCAAATCCTCCTCGGCTCTCATCCCCTCCCTGCTTACCGGGTAGCCCCGGTTGGCAAGCAGCCGGTCGGCGGGGAGCGATGGGAATCGCCCAAATCCCACTTGGAAGTGACACCTGGGAGAAGGCGGCGAGGGGCAGCGCGAAGACCGACCACCTCCCACTGAGGGTGGGGGACAGATCCCCGCAGCCTTCAGCCGAAACGCACCCGAGAGGGGCTTCCGAGTGGGCGCGTAGTTCTTTCTCTACAGCCAGGGTGCTATTTAGCCCCATTACTTTCATAATGGGTGCAAGCAACATTAAAGCCTTATTTAAAAAAATAAATAATAAAATGAGATTAAAGGAAAGGAACACACACACCGCCCCCCCCAGCTCTGGCAGGAGTTGCTTTTTCCTCTCAGCTCCGCGCTGC